GTACTGTAAAATTGTATTATGTAACAGAATTAGGCTCTTAAGCCTTTTCCTTTAGGAGAAGGTTCATGTCTCCACCAAATCATCGCAAACTTTGTTTTGCCAATAATATCACGTTACGACTATCACAGTTTTGGGTTGTTTTTCTATCTGCCCATTCTTACTTTTGGCAGCTAGAGCTCATGACTGTCGGGTGAATGCCGATGCGGTGTGGTTCTTGCAGAGATATGCAAGTTGTGTTACAGTATGAAGGAAATACTCTTGAACTCTTCCACAGACAGTAAGGTGGCTGTCTTTGATTTGAAGCTCTTTAGTAATCTGTGAAGCTTTTCAATACAGTAACTGAGGAAATTTGACTTGAACAAAAAAAAAAAATAGTTAATGTTTTTGTAATCTATAAATGTGGTTTTTATTTAGAAATTGCTTAAGGCTTTTAAAAAAACTTTATGGGCCATCTTGTATCCTTGTTTAGTGGGGGAGTGGGACAGAATAGCTGAATTGCTTTGCTTCTGATAAAGTAACTCTAAATTCAGATTTAGCTATTATATAAATGAAACTATCAAATCTGCACTATAAGAGCACGTGGGCATAAAAATATTTGTATCAGTCAGGTGCTATCTTTGAATTAAGTCTTCGAGCAAGAATTGTTGTGTTCCTTGGGCTACACTGAGAAAGTTTGCTGAAGTGGCTCTTCTGTTTTATGTTTTTGTAATCTATAGTTTATGGTGCAACTTCCAAAAAGAAAATGTAATTTTTTGTCAAGACTGTAAAGGTTAAGGAAAGTGGTCTTCATTCTTGTACCTGCCTTAGAGCAGTTTCAGTCCTGTGACAAAGTGGAAGAAATACGGGAATATTAAACCATTATGGTTGTCTTTAACTTATGTATTTACAGTTCTCTTGAGAGAGGTGTTCCTGAATCAAGAAAATGATGACTTTCTTGTTACTTGAAAGTTGAAAAGTGTGTCAGTTTTTGTTGGTGCCTGGCTGAGAATTCTCCAAAAACCTGATTTTTTTAATATCTGGATTTATGCATGCTGTTCTCCAAAGAGCTGTACGGTTTCATAGATGATGTGCCAGTGGAGCTGTGGAAGAGAAATCCTTGGTACTTTTCTAGGCAGTAAGATTTCCACAGCTCTTCCAGGCTGCTTGAAAACACCTATGGTACTCTTCTGGTTTAAAGCAGTTTGATTTTTTTTTTTCTTTTTTTCCTGTGTGATGTTAACACGTTTCTAAATTCCGTTCTAGAAATAGCACCACAGTTTCACTTGCAGTTGAAACGATTCCTCAGGGTAATTGGCAAAATGCTTTGAGTTGTAAAGTGTTTATATAAGTAGTGCGATAAGAAAATGAGCATCACTTGCCCTACACATTTCATTCCAGTTTTTGCTGCCAACATCCATATCACAGTTGCCCAGCTGTCAGTCTCTCAGGTGCATGTGTTCCTTTATACTTCTAGATGTATGGTGTTAATAGCTTTTTCCTCCTTTGTTGCCAGCTGTAACAGATCCATACAGTTGTTTCTATGTAGATATTTCTGTTGCTGACTTAGAAGAATCATATTAGAGAAATGACACTTGCTTTTTTGTTACGTATCTCAATTGCTAGAATTCAAATGTGATGCTAGCTTTATTATTACTAGTTGTAAAATAATAATAATAAAAAATTGCCCTGAGTAGCCTTATTAAGAGTCTTTTTAAACTTTTTTGCAATACGCTCTTAGGAAAGTCCAGTTTTGGCCTATAAAATTCACTGAGATTTTTTTTTCCTCTGTTCATTCTTAGTTTAGTATTTTAGAGATGTTTTGTTTGCCTAAGCATGTATTCTTCAGTATTGGCAACTGTGGCTTATGTGTTTGTGCATTCAAGGAGATTTTGAAAGCAAAGACCACAATTGTGCTAAATGCCCTCAATAAAAATTGTCTTCAGGGGAGTCAGTATGTGTTGCCTTCAGCACGTGTCTGAAGTGCATGGGGCTTGCAGCTCACTCAGGTCCTCTTAACCTCAAGCACAGCTTGAATTAGACTGCGAGTCCAATTAGCCCTACATATGTGAAATATTTCCTTTTGGTTGCCTTTTAAAATGGTTAGGTTCACATCTTACAGAAGCAAGTACCACATGCTGGAAAACCTTACTAGCGCTTTTACAGAATTACTGGAAACTGCACTTTTCAATCACACAGAACCACACTTGTGGAATAAAACGATAACATATGAGCTGCCCAAATGTACCAGAGGTCTATCAGCTTCCACTCTGTTACTGTCACTTGACAGAAGACGACTTTTAGTCTTGTGTACCAAAGCAGAAGGCAGTTGCTCCCTTCTGAAGGTAGACATCCGGATGGCTTTTTGTGGTAGTAAACCTTTATGATGGCATGATAAGCCAAAGCTTTTTTTATGGATGTGTGGCTTAAGGAGAGGTGATCGGTTACAGCATTTGATGTAGTTGCTAACAGTAGGATTTCTGTCACATTGTGCCTGAGCAGCACTATAAGAACACATTTGATATCAGTCTTAGACACAAGTGTATGCAAGGGATCTCCCAGGTGTTTCAGCATCATCTTAGGGTCTACTGGAACATCTGCTAGTAGACCTTAGCTTGAGGGAAGGTGACAAGATTGAAATCTCTGTGGAGAGTGCTGGCAAAATATGAATGAAATTAGCTTGGCTAATCTGACTTGAGAGCAGAAAGTTGTTTGTTTTTAACCTGGATCTTCCCTCCCAGTTTCATCTCTTATTTAGTAAGAACTCTTAATATTGAAAATCTTCAGTGAAAAAATTTGACTTGCTTAGTGGTCACGTGAAGGAGAAGGACTTTGTGCAGAAATAATATTTTCGATAGGCTATCTGTGTGGTCTTTGACCTCAGCAGATCAATGGAATTTCTTTAACTGTTACCTAGTAGTAATGTTACAGGTATTGCTCTGTACAGAGTTTGTGGTTTTTGTTGATTGTTTTTTTGTTTGGTTGGTTTTTATAAACTGAGAATAGGAAGTATGACTTGTAACAGTTCTGTATGTTTCTGTGCTGGTTACAGATGCTTCAGTGACATGAAAAATACTGAGCAAGATCTAACATCTTCATAATGCTTGCTTATAAACTGATTGGATTTAGGAAGACTTATTTGCCTTAGTGTATTTTGAGAGAATTACTTAGAAATGTCATAACAAAGTTCTCATTCAGTAGATGAGGCTGTTGAAATAAATTCAAGTTTTCTCTATGTATAAATTCTGGAATTGGGACTTGCTTCATTATATGGGGCAATAATTGTCTATGAACTGTTTGGACTTCTAAAAATTTTAAAGTACTTCTTAATTTGACACAGCATCTGATGATGATACAGCCGTGAGTGGTGAGCAGCATCTATCAAATGACTTGTGAAGATTCTCAAAAAACATTTGTAAATATTGAAATATTTTAATACTACTCAAAAATAAGGTTTTGACATACAGCTTGCTTAAAACTTCTTTTCAGGGGTCTTGTTTTTGTGTGTTACTAATAAGGATGAAAGTTTTCATCCCAAGTTGCGTGTTTTGTACATATTTGGAAACCTTTGATATCAGACTGAAATTAGTAACTTATTAGAATTTGCATTTTATAGCTTTCTACCTCAACAAGATACTATCTAAAACTCTTTACTCTGTTAAAGTTACTCTGGTTATTAAATTATTCTAAACGGTGATCCTTAATCAAAGGACTTTATGTTCTTAATAAACAGATCTTTAATTAAGATACATCTGTAATATCTTCTGTGCACTAGAACAGATATACATTCTAAGTGCGATATTTCTATGAAGTATTTTGCCCTAAACTATTGATATGTGATCTCTAAGTTCATGTTTAAATTGCTTATGGTAATGTAGTCTGTCCTCTACATACTGCTAATAAGACAATTAAGTTGGCCGTTTCAGTGGTGCTGACACCTCAGTATTCAGTTGTTGCCCAACTACCCTTCAAGTACTTACACAGACAAACCACATAAACAGCAACGCTGCTCTGCAACCAACAGGCTGCTCACAGACTTGGCTTAAGTAAGAGGCCACAAAGGAAGCTTTTCAAACTAGATGTTTGTTTTACGGGCCTTGCCCAGTCCTTAAGGTGTACTTTGATCACATCTGAGCCAAATTTAGCTCGGAGAGAATAAATGTCTAATGTGCATGTCTTGAGGAGTTTAGAATAGTCCTGGATTCAGTTCTTTGCTCTCTTCTCAGCAAGTGCCTTCACTAGCATTCTCAGGCAGGCTTTTTTCCCATGTATCTGCTGGAGCCTGTTCTGGTTTTGTACCAATATTCGGGCAGAGACTTGAAGCTCCCTGTCTTTGACCTCCCAAGTTAATGTTCTACTATTGAGCTTATAATCAGTCTTGGACACAAAGAGCTTTTTTTATACAAAAGCCTGAGACCTGCCATGATCCACCACAAAATACTCAGAAGGTTGGTGATTAGGTTATTTTAGCTAAGTGGAAAGATGCATAGATGCAAATTCTTGCTCTTAATTCTTATCAAAAAGAGGCTTATAACAGGTTTGTAGCATCTCATTTGCTGTCATGTGTGTCAGTACTCAGGTTTAGGTCGGACTTGCAGGGTACTTGCTGCCTGTTGATCTCATGAGGTGTATATAGATGTCTCACTTTTTCGTGCTTCTCCAATTTTCATTTTTTTTGTTAGATTGAGTGGCTTCAGACACTGAGCATCCAGAAGGTCTACACTGGCTTTCGGACAATAATTTGGGCATAGAGTTTCTACTGGAGCAGGTTATTTATTCATGAGATATTGGGACTCCATAAAATTGAAATGCCTTTGGAGTTCATACTTGGAGTCTTTAACTAAAATGCAGTGAATTTGAGCAAGGAGTGTAAAAGAGCTCAATTATTTCTTAAACAAAGAACTGAAGTTAATGCTTCCAGTATAAATTCTTAATGTAAAACACAAAATAACATGATGATCCTCTTTGAGCATATAACTCATTGTAATGCTTTGATTTTTTTTTTTTCTTTAATGTAGATCTAATACAGTGCACAAATGAAATGAATGTGAATATTCCTCAGTTGGCAGACACACTCTTTGAGAGAACTGCAAACAGTAGCTGGGTTGTAGTGTTCAAAGCTCTAATTACAACACACCACCTCATGATGTATGGAAACGAGGTAAGACGTGATTAGTTCTGTTAAAGCCTCCTTGACAGTGTTTAAAAAATTGTCTCAATCTATGAAGCATTAGATACGTACTTCAGTTTTCCAAAGGTCTTTGTTTTTCCACTGCTGATGGCTGTAAAGTACTTCTCCAGAGAAGAAAATACTCCTTCATTATTTCAATACCGAAATATATCAGTGTTTGCAATTTACCTGCAGGTATCTGGGTTGGGCTGTGAGGGAATAATGAATGACCTTTCTAGAATAAAGACTTGAGAAACTTCTGGTGAGCTTTACTTCATTAGGCTAGTGCTTATCAGTAAAAGCACAGCAAGAGAGTCTTGTTAGCACTCCATAAATGTGCAGCCAACCTATTAACAGATAAGAATACTTACTAAAGGGGGGAGGAATATGGTGACTAGAATATTTGATCTTGCCAATCATCTAATGGGCCATATCTTCATATGTAAGTTATCATTAACATTCCTCCGAAACAGGTTTCTATTGCATTTAGTTCACTTAAATTATTTCATCACTATTTATGAAAAGCTTCCCGGACAATAACATGGCATTAGAAATGTAGCCTCTCTCGCACAGTCCTTCCGTTAAACTAAACTTTGTCTTGGTCAGGTGATAGTTTAGTCCCGAACTTGTGTGTAGTCATTCTCCTAATAAATGACTGTTGACTACTGGTAATATTGAAATGATGATTCTTAAAGGTACTGCTTCCAGCCATTAAAATGCTCTGAAAACTTAGCGTTGCCTCCTCTCTCCAAATCTCTGTGAATTTAATTGAAATGACCTGTAAAGCGTAGTGTGCTCTTTGTAACGCTTCCTCGAGTTATTTATGTGCTTAAATTGTAGTTTCAATAGATAATAGGCTGAAATTAGAGAATAATACAAAGTAAAATTCACTGCTTGGAATTCACTACTTGTTCCGAGTATAAAGCTAAACTGAAGGCTGTAAATCAGTTTGTATATTCTGTTCTCTCTTCTTCCAATACAGTTCATATCTACACACTGAAACTTGAAAGGAAAAAAAAGCAGACAACTGAACCATAGAAAAAAATCGAAACTTAGAGTTGTGGGCTACTAGTCAGTATCTGTTTGCCCATACAGTGTTTTGTAGTGGCAGAAGAGTTGAATTTTTATGTCTGTACCAAAACTGCTCCTCAGCTTTGAATGGGTGTATTTGAAACTTGAAAAAGAGTTCCTTTATACCTGCTGAGATAATGTGGCTGGAACACTAGTTCTGTAATTTCAGGTGGAACATGAGTGTACTCCTCACTCCTCTAATACATTAAGAGAGACCTTTTTCTTAAACAGATAAAAAATGATCATATGTTGGACTTGTATTTTAAGTACAAGTAAATACAGCACAAGGTCAAAATGTTGTCTGAGCAATCACTGTCTTGCAGTTTCTTGTGATGAAGTTTTGGGTGAAACGGGTTAAAACTCCTCTCACGTGTGCATTGTACAATGCAAGACCCCTGACATCTGGAGAGTGAGAGTTAGCCTTGGCCCTTTTAAAATGAGATTCAGAACAGTAGCTAATTTTGAAATGTGTATAGACACCTTTTGAACATCACTGTTCTGTTCCTGATCACGTTCCAACTGTTTTTCTTCTTCTGTATCTCTTTGAATGCAGTACTAAGATGTACAAAGACCAGATAAACCGGCTGGAAAACAGAATAAGAAGTTAAAACAGTGCCAGAACTGTTGGTAGGCAAGCTGCGTGTTGTAGACTTGAGTGAACTCCGTAGCTATAGGCTGAGAACACATACGAGTTACTGACGAGGTGGTACGTGACAAGTTGGGGAATCATTTGGGCCCCTTGGAAGGTGAAAGTATTGCTTTCAGTTTAAATAGTACTTGTGAGAAGAATTTTCTTGTTGCTGTGCTAAGCCCTCATTACAGTTCCCAAAGAGCAGGCGCTATACTGAGCCTGACTGAAAAAATGCTGGTTTGGTGGAGTGCAATAGTCCAAACCTGGCAGACAGGTAGATTTCCACCATGAAGGGTGAAGGAACAGGCCCTGCGTGCTGTAGCAGCAGAGGGATTCAGATCAAAGATGTAGCAAGTCCCTTAAGCTGTACTGATCATAGTCCTCTTTTATGAACTAAAACACATACAAAGAAGCAAGAAAGTCAAGAAATCACAATCATAGGAGGTCTGTGTGGAACAGTGGCAGAGAAACTTTTAAAACTACCTTGCTATCTGGATGTGCTTGTCTCTTACTCCTGTTATTTATGGAGCTAGCTATTATTTGTCAAAACTTAAATGTTGCTTAGTCAGATCACTGCATTACAATGTATATAACATATTATAACCCCAGTGCTGCTGCTCACCACAGTTCCAGAAGCATTATTGTTACTAATTACTTTTAAATTTTGTAACTAAATCTGTCTCCCACTTCCACAGCAGCGGTAGAGCTATGCAAACCTTGGGAGCTTGGATAATGCGAGTGGTATTTTTGTTTTGTGTTTTCCAGCTTGTCTGTTCTAAAGTACAAAGTTAACCTAAGCAGCTTCCTCTAGGATTATTAGGCTTTTATTCCTGGGCAGTGATGTCTTTTTATTTAGTTTAAATTTATATTTTTGCCAAATAGAGTTTTGGATTTCAGAGGCTTTGCTAATCAGTAGTTTCAAGTTTTCCTTTAAATTTTTCCCTTTTAACTAATTTCTATTGTTGATAGAGATTACTAGAAACAGTTACAAGGTAAGTGGAATTTTCTTGTAATATGCTTAAATGTTTTGACTCTCACAACAATGATATTCTCAACTTTTTCTTCACCAACAGCGCTTTATCCAGTATCTTGCATCCCGAAACACTTTGTTCAATTTAAATAACTACCTGGACAAAAGTGCCATGCAGGGTAAGGATCTTTCACTTGAAGAAAATAACTCTACTGCTTTTTTGCTCTGTGATAGCGCCTGTGTCGGTGCACTCTAGGAGACAAATGACATTTAAATGGAAGGGTATTATGATTTATATTGCATGAGGCACCAAAGAATGTCCAACTAAGAATGTAGACACAAGGAAAGTGAGATTCTGAGTTACCTAGCTGAGTGCTAGAAATTAGTCTGTAATATATGTATCGTGCATACACAGCTGTAAATTTTAAAAAGTGAACTCTTAACGCTGACTAGAATAAACCTGATGAATATTAGCACAATGGTCTATATTTGCTGTTGCATTTTAGTGTCTCAGGAGTAAATGTTTACTGTTAAGGTGCATGGAATGGTAACTAGGATGTGCTGTATAAAAAGTGAGAACTCCCTCAAATCTCTGAGATGTCTTTAATTACTTGTCAATGGTAGAAAACATTTTTCGGTCTTTGTGTGGTTTTTGAGGCATTGCAGAGAAGGTACTAAAGTCTTCAGCATTTTACTAGGAATACATTTTTAGTCTAATTTCAAGAACATCTTAAGAGCTGCTTGGTTCTTGCCTAATATTTTATGCTTGGTGTAATAAGATTTTTGGATTGTGTTTAGGTGTTTGTTAGGAGTTTATGCTTTCCTAATCTTAGCAAGTTGGGAAGAAACTGTAACATTACATCTCAAGGTGAAAAATAGTGAATCTCAAGACTCTGGAAAGTGCCTATGAAGGGTTTTTTATGCAAGTTGATGTAAAATGGACTAGTAGGAGAATAGTTCTTGAAAAGAACTTAAAAGAAACTGTACCCCTTCAAAATGTCTAAATTATAAATGCTTAACTTTTAGGCTATGATATGTCTACCTTCATTAGGCGATATAGCAGATACTTGAATGAAAAAGCACTTTCATATAGACTTGTAGCAGTTGACTTCACCAAAATGAAAAGAGGGTAAGACTGTTACTGCTTCTTTTGTTTGGTCTTTCATATTGGGGGGGAGGGAAATACCAGTTGTTCTTGAGCTTTTGGCCCTTTGAAGCAATATAGTATTGTTGAAACAGTATAATATGCTGAGGTCTCTTGGTAACTTGTAAACGTGTGTCTTCTACTCTGTAGGATAGATGGAGTGATGAGAACCATGAATGCGGAAAAGCTTCTGAAAACCCTTCCAATTATACAGAACCAGCTTGATGCACTCCTTGATTTTGATGTAAGTACTTTAGGTAACACTCTCTCATTTTTAAGTGAGTTTAATTATTTTATTAAATACTAATTTACTTTCTCATTGCTTTCTACACAGGCAAATCCAAATGAACTAACAAATGGTGTTATAAATGCTGCCTTTATGCTCCTCTTTAAAGATTCCATTAGACTTTTTGCAGCATACAATGAAGGGATTATTAATCTTTTAGGTATGTGAGAATTTTTTTAGCTTTTGAACTTTTGTGAAAGATACTGAGAGAACTAAAGAATATAGACGATTTCTGACTGCAGTTTCCTAATAAATTGTCTCTGCTCTATTACCATTAAATTAAGCCTGTCTCTGTTTCAGTGGCAACTAGAATAGGCTTAAACATATGCTTCTACCTTGAAGAATACATCTTGAAACAGAAATTGAGATGAGAGGGTGACTGGTGAGACTAAAACAAAGATACCATGAATGTGCAGTGCCATAAACCTTTGGCACTTGAACTATGAAAGTATTAGTGAGGTATCTGGTATTTTGAGTATCTAGTATAGTCACAGTATGACTGACTTCTGGTTTCCCATAATTTCTTTAGAGCCTGACTATTCACTTTTACCTGGTACCTGAATCTACATGAGCCTAGTAGATAACACGTAGGGTTTTTTGTTCAAGAGTGGTAAGCTCTTAGAAAAGCCTTGTAGTGACTATTCAAGCAAATTTCTGAATGAAAACATCTGATCAGTTTGCTCTGTTAATCCATTAGTTTTTACTCAATGAAAAATCCATTAGTTTTTACTCAATGAAATATCTATAAGTATATAGGGCAAAACCATAAAAAGTGAAGGATGTGGTTGATACTCCTTTTGGTAGGTCAGTTCAGTATATGTACCACTTCAGTAGCCGTTCTGATGTCTTTTGGATATGGAGCCCATTTACAAATGTCAGAACGTATTGATACAGGGTCTAAAAATGTAAATACATACCAGGAATATTTTCAAATGATAAAATAATTTGCCTCATTGCCAGCTAATAAGCTGACTTCTTGCAAATATTCCCCTAAATACCTAATTTAACAATTGCAGTGATTCACGTCTGTGCTTAATAAAGCTTTGCATTATATTCTCATGTACTGAAATAGAAAAATCAATGTTTTTCTATTGACTGACTTAATACAAAAAGTGTCAGGTAGTAATGTAAACTTTAAAATCTGAATAGCTTTGAGTTACTCCTGTCTATTCTCTCCCTGAAGCTTGTCTCGAATTAACTTTTATAATACTGTGTCACCTTTTTGCTGCGGAGGCTGTTATCTTACAAGAGTTTTATTTGCATCCTCAGAAAGATATTTTGATATGAAGAAGAACCAGTGCAAAGAAGGCTTGGATATTTACAAAAAATTTCTAGCCAGAATGACCAAATTGTCAGAATTCCTCAAAGTAGCAGAGGTAAATAAATCTACGTCTATGGAAGGGATATCGTTTAGCTGTCTGTACTGGTGCAGTGGTCTATATTCATAACAGCAACTTCACAAACAGGTTAATATTTGCTTAACTTCGCTATACAAGGAAGCATTCTACAGATTAGGTATTTTAAAGATTGTATACGCTCATTAACATGAAGTGAGATTCTTGGGTATCCTTTTCATTAGCCAGACAACATAGTAAACTTTCTGAAGTGTTGTTACATTTTGGACCGTTCATGAAATTTATATGAACTGAATGTTACAGTCTATTTACAGTGCTCCCCTTTACTGTAACTGCTCAAAGTGGAGTAGTTCCAGTAAGCAATGTGGGTGTTTCTAATGCTCCCCGTAAGCTCTTCTGCATGGAAAAGTTAGGCTGGATGAAAAGTTGGATTTGCTTTGAGATGCAATTTAATGCACTTGTGATTTCTAAGGTGTGTT